AGAATTGGGCCCTTAGTTATAGAAACAGAATAACTGCTGGGCGTAGATGTTTAGAAATGGCATATAATGAATCAGCTTTAAATATGACATTAGACACTCATTTTTTTTGTTAAAATTATTTCAGCTATCCTCTCTCCAACCAGTAAGAATATTTACAATATTGAATTGTATTAACTGCTCAATTTTTTATAGAAATTTTGTTAAGTAATGTTGAGGTAGAATGTTCTACTTAAAATTTTATATAACATAAAACTGTATGAAGGTCAATACATTAATTATAGAAAAAAATCTTTGCATTAAAAATAGATAAATTGGGTTTCGATCTTAATGAAATGGCATATAACGAATCCGTTTTAAATAGAACATCGGGTTGACACTCAATTTTTCTTTAGAAAATTTTTGAAGCTATCCGCTCTCCAACCAGTAAGAGTATTTACAATATTGAATTGTATTAATTGCTCAATTTTTACTGAAATTCTGTAAAGTGATGTTGAGGTAAAATATTTACTTATAATTTTATATAACATAAAACTGTATGAAGATTAATGCATCAGAAAAAAATCTTTTCATTAAAAAATAGATAAATTGGTTTTTGATCCTAATTTGCTTCTTGTATCTATTCAAGCTTGTACACACTTGATATATTAATACACTATACAGTGTACACTTTATAGTACTAAAAAAAATAATTAAATTTTATGAATATTTTATAATTAATAATTTTTTAATACCAAAAAAAAGAAAACCATCTATTTATGCTAGATCCTTCAGTTTTCGATGTTATGTTTGTTTTTAAAGTGATATACAAATAACAAATTGGTCATGATGAGTTACAAATGTTTTTAAATTAGTAAATTAGTAAAAAATAGTAACTTGATCATCATTATTACATCATTTATATTCCAATTATTTGAAGGCTAAAGTTAACGTCACTGAATTAAAATGAATCCATCAACTCAAATTGGTTCTCTTGATTGTAATAGTATAAAATTAAATGCAATGCATTTTGTATTGCATTTTAGATGGTTTATATCTAATATGTCCATCTTTAGTTTTATTTTTTATCTTCACTAACGGACTTTCTAGAGAAAATGTAATATTAACATGTACAACTATCATTAAATCTACAAAAATTATAAGAAAAGCTAATTCTATAAATGATATTTTTAAAATGAAAGTAACAAGTACAATTTGCTCAATTAATCATTCACAGTAATAAATAACAAAAATGGTGATTTGAATACGTTCTTCTTCGGTTTAATGGCTTTAATAGCAAGACTTCTATTAGTAAATTAAAGTCTTCTATAATTAATTAAAATTTATTCATTAATTGATCAAAACGAATAGAAGCATGTTAGTGTTAAATGTCAGTGTCAATGCAAATTTTAATTCTCTACAATACAGGCGTTATGCAAATTATAATTAATTACATTTACACATGATCCACATAACTTATGATTAGTCATTTTTATGCATTTGAAATAAAAGATACATTTTCTTTTGAAAGGGTAATATGTGGAAGATGCTCCAACCTTAATTATTATTTTTAGCATAATATTATTATAATTTGAATTATCTATAATTTTATTAATTATATTTTTCTTTTATTTTTTCAGTTCTCAATCATATCGCTGTGCGGCAAACAGTTGAAGCATAACATACACGTAAGTCCTATTTTTTAGTAGAATTTTTAAGATTTGTTCTAAATTTGTCTAAAATCAGTTGCATTAGAGCATTTTTACTTAGTTATTCATTACAGTATTAGTAAACTATATTTTGATTTTTTTTTTTGGAATTGTTTGAACAGCAATCAGAACTCTTATATGTTCTATAATCTTGGTTAAGACTTACTTATTTGATGAGAGGCAATCCATCGATTTACCGTTCTCTTATGTGTGGGATATTAATTTTTAAAATTTAATAAAGAATTACATTTAAGAGTTTTATTATTTATTTGAGCATTTTAGTGATTAGACTATCACTTCACTTCAAGAAATCTAATCAATTTTTAGATAAAATCTGAAATCTAGCTATAAAATTGTATAATTCATGCATATGAGTAAGTTACTTAATACAACTATACATCAACTCTAAATTCAAAAGATAAATAATATCTTTCAAATTATTCTCTCTCATAAAATATACTCTCTTAGGTAGTACGACGTGATATTTTTTCTTAAATTTCAATTTATGGGCCAAACGAAAACAAATTCTGGCAATTTTAATGAAAAAAATAAGACTAAAACCTCTTCCAAAGGATTCAAATATAAATAACCTTATAAAGCATACAGTTTGAGGTTTGTTGATCACTTTCACTACGGGGTCTCTGTCCTGAGAGAAAGTACACACACCATCGGGAAACACAGCACACGGTTCAATACAAGTGCAAAAATGCACCGTGGAAACTTGTATCGTGCAACTCGTTTGTGCATACAAATGTTTTCAAAGTCGATAATAGAAATGATCTATGATCTTTGATATTTGTAAACAATTTAAAAACAGATACTAGTAAAGACATAAAATCGATTGAGATGCACAACGAAATACAGATGGTGAGAGATCAGGCCAAGATACTGAATTAAAGTTCATAATTAAGATTGTAACCGTAGCTTAAGAAATTTTAATTATGTGGCCAAATAAAACATGATATTTAATTTTTTATTGATTTTCATCAACATTTTATTAAACAACATAAAAACAACTCAATATTATATTAATTACACAAAAAATATATACTCCTGTAATTTTAGTCTTCATAAAGTCATAATCCCAGGCTAGAAGCTGTGAAAAACCATCCTTATTTTACTTCTTAACTTTCTCTTGGAGGTTTAATATTATTAAAACAACATGTTCCCCTCTGATCATTACTTTCGGTACAAATCGTTCACAAACTTCATTTTTACCTTTGCTGCTTATTATTTTAGTTTCAGGAATTTTAACGCGAATTTTATTTGGTTTGTTGCTTGGACAACCTGCGCCTGAAAATTTGATAATAATATAAAGTAATCATCATATTTAATAATATATAATTTATTTTACAATATAAATTGTATTATTCGGACGTTCAATATTAACTGGGCGTTATTTTTTCACTTTCGTTTTGAGATGGTTTAAATAAAGATATATTATTTTTGTCCGTCTGAATTTGTTCGGAAGTATTTTCGTTTTATTATATTGGCCATGAGGTGACAATCTTCATGGCATTGAACTTTTACACGGGATGGTTACTACCCCTGGTAGAGGGGGTACCGGAGTTTGATAGGACTAATTGTTGACTTCTAAAAGTAAAGTCCGCGAAACAACATGTGTAATAAATAATTAATAAAAATCTTCTTTGATTAGAACTTAGAGACAAATCAATAGTGTAATTAAAACTGCAACAAATACATAATATGTCAACAAATAAATGTTGAATACATAGATTCATAACTACGTGGCGGTATACATTTTGGTCATTCGATGAAGAGTTTTTAAATAATAAATTCTATAACTACGTGACGGAATAGAGATATAGAATGATTTTTTATGAAAACTTGTCGCTCATTTGCACGTAATCTATTCTATAAAGACACAAGTGTTTATTATAGTTATTGAGAAAATTATTGATTAACAGCCAACTGTGGCGCGCTCGTTGAATTGCTGCAAAGTTTTGTGTCGTCAGAATCGAGGATAAATGTTCTTTTTGGGGTAAAATGTCCGGTTACAACTATTTATTTTATACCAGTACAGTTTAAAATATTTTAAAAGTTTGAAATTTGAGATTGACTTAATTTTTTTTCTCAAAAATTTTCAATATAAACAGCCAATGGTCAAAGTTCTATGCGCATGTCGAGTATATTCGTAAAATTTTGCTACTTATTAGTCCAGTCATTTAAGCTTAAATTACTGGATTTTAATAATTAAAACCTACATATAGGCTGTACCTATCATATACAAGTATTTACAGACTACAGCTGAGTATCTCGAATTCCGAGGTAAACTTACTATAATGACTGGACTATATGCTGACTACAATCTAGTTATTTGGTTAAAACATGCCATATATTTAATTTCAGACTTTTGATAATTTTTTTGTTATAATACTAATAGCAATCAAAATTTGATCAGTCCTGATGAGCTATTTGGTGATCTTATAGGCATGGCTTTAAAGATGGCAACCCAACGATTGTCCTACCTCTGTTTAATGAATTTATTATTAGAAATTCTTTGCTTTAGTATGTAGCAATGCCATTAATTAATTTTCGCTTGGAAACATATTTGTATCTATATTATAAAGCAAAAACCGATGTCACAACTGCTAGACACCAGGCTACCGGTCAGAAGTGGATATCAAACTTGGACCTCTAACTACTATTCCGTGGAGAGACCAAAATTTTATTTGAATTAAATTATGTCCTCATATATCACTTACTCATCGGGGGTGCTTTCATTTTGTTAGATTTTCGTCTAGACCAGCGTTCCGTTGCATTTGATAACGCAATGTTCCAATGTTTATCGAAGGCCTGAAGCGTCCCAGTCAAGGTGCCTCGAACCTCGTGAGCCCGACGCGTGTGAATCTGAAATATTGCGAAATATGAAATGTGTCTCACATTAAAAATCAAAGCATTCGTTTATTATTCGATTGAAAATCGATATTTTCATATTTGCCGACATTGCAACATACGTCAATGAACGCTATTGTGTATTTCGATAACTCTGTACGCTATTGCAATGCATTCAAATTGATAAAATTGGGATAGGTCAGTACAAAATGATAAAAACCGTTTCGAGAAATCTAAAGAATTCGTGATCGTCAACGTCATTAAGTTTTGGACAAAGAATGATTTTAATTATTTAGAGAAACGGTAAAGCATCATGAATTTGGATTTTCCGACTTATTTAACACTTTAATGCACTGATAAGTCGCGAAAGTACCAGAAATGATCCGTAACATTACAATGGGTAATAAATAATTATTTTAGTGTATTTAAGTGTGAAAATATTTAACAGATAAATTAATGCCTAAATGCATTAAACTTTTGGTATCAAGTCCATGTGCACTTTGATCTTTGCAATATTCTAAATAAAGCAATAAAATATTATTTAGCCAAATAAAACACATTCTTAAGATATTTTTAGAGAAATCAAAGTTATATGTTATATATTTTGTGTGTGGTGTGCGTTTGTGTTTTTTATCCCATCATTAAATATATCTATATATTCAGAGTAAATAATAAAAACATATTTAAACCACAATCTTATTATAGACTAACAGAAGGTTTATTTTTATTACAACACAAAATATTTTGTCCACCTACAAAGGACCATGATATAAGTGGATACCAATTCATACTCAATGTACGTGTTTAAAAATAGAGTTAAAATCTTGAATACAATGTTTGAAGTTCAAATTTATGATCAATTTTGATAAATTTGCTTATATAGTTTTTCTTGAGAAAAATAGCTTTATAACCTGGCTAAACCCATTCAACGATGCTTGACGAATCTACTCGTCATGGAGAGCTAGCTGAATTTTGTGTATTGACGATTGTACATCATGCGTCTAAGTCTTTGATCAGATTGCTATTTTTTAAAAGAAAAAAAAAATGCATATTCTCAAATTTCAAGATATTTAGAATTTTTGAGGCTATGTCAGTATGAAGTAAATAGTTGTAAGTGACATTTTACCTCAAAAACCATATTTTACCACCACAGTTAGTTGGTTAAAAGCTGCCAGGACTTTATGTATTCTTACTATAAATAATTATAAATGTATTATGATATTTAGAAGTACCTAGAATTTAATTTATGAAATTTTTTAACCGTTGGGTGGCTACCCAACAGCTGTCCTATCTCTATCTGATGGATTTATTATTAAAAATTTTAAACTGATGACTTTTTATTGATGCATCAATGTCGGGAAAGCAACATACTCTTGAAAACATATTGCTCCTCATATTTTGAAGTAAAAACCGATGTTACTACTGCTACTTATTTCCAAAGTTTCACAAAAATCTAACTCAAAACCTTCTGATTTATATTTTACAAATACTATTCAAACTTATATTTTTCTGGTTTATCAAAAGCCAGACGTGCTCCATAAACTATTTTCCCTAAATAGTTCACAAACCGCGCATTAATTCTAATTTTCTGCTTGCCAAGTCATAAATAACACAAGCGTCTATTTCCGTTTATTTTAAGTTTCATGTCTATTACTTCTATACCAGTTTTCCAGCAATTAAATTATTCAAATGCGAGTGACCTATGCGGTTCCAGAAGCTTTCTCTCGGCACTCATATGAGCCGGGACTGACCTATGACAACCTCAACCTGCTCTTGCGTAGACTCGCCGCCTGATCGCTCAGCCTCTGTCTGCTGATAACGGCTCATTGATAAGAGAACAAGTCTACAGTAAAAAATCATATCAATTTCAAAGAATATTGCAAATGTGGAACACTAATTGACGGACTGAAACGCGCCAGGCAGACTGATATTTTCGTTATCGCGAAATTTTATGATATCGCAATTTGTGTAAATAATGAATTCTTCGGATGTATACTCATTGTTTTAAGTATAATCTGTTAAAACAAGACGTAGGGTAATTACTTTTGGGATATCATTGCCAAGACATGCATTGACTCATTTCTTTTTTTGAAAAGTACTCTTTATTATGCTTAATCTTTGAAAAATTAAGGCAATTAAATCTAAAACGGTCCCAGCTAACTCTTTCAATATCATATGTAAACCGATAGAGAAAAATTAGCTTGTCCGACTATTGGAATCAAGTACATTCAAAAGCAGCAGTTCTTGACTCGGGTATTTTTACCCGGCCTCCTTTGCAATGAGTTAAAAAACAACTTATTTTGATAAAACGATTTCCTTCACTTTACTGATAAAAACCCCGAACAAATAAAATGCATTGCATCAATAATGTGTTATCGAATATTCTTAGGAATAGCATTTTACCAAGAAAATTTAATGTGAGAGCAAACAATTAGAAAGTAGATTTCCGCATCACGGACGGTTTTACGACACGACTATAGATTTTAATCGTTAATCATACTGCACCAATAGTAATTAACAACAAAGCAATATATCTTTGATCAATAAGATACAATTAATATTAAAAAAATATCTTTGATCAATAAGATACAATTAATATTAAAAAAAAATAGTTGAGAATCGACTTATATTGTATGAAACAGTACATTGATAGACAAAATTGAAAATATATATTAATAAAATCTTGAAGGACATAATATTAAGTAATAAAAAGGTTAAGATTTTTAATCATCTTTATTATTACAAGGGTTCTACATAAAGTTCTACGCCAATACTTCAGCTTTTAGCTAGAATTAAACTTAAAATCTGAATCATTTTCGATGTTTAAAAGTTTTTTGGAAATTATCATTATTTTAAATTTTGAAATAATTTTTTTTGCCTTTCCCAATCCTTTCTTCACACTGTCAACACAAGCAAAATATTGTTTGAATCATTCAAATCGGATACATCGTTCTCTCAAGCCATCTTTTCTCCGTATCTTCGAAACGGCTTGACCTATCCTTGCCAAAAATAATCATGATGTCTCCCCATCATTACAAATTAAATAATTTTCAATCCATTCAAATCGTATACACTGTTCTCTCACAAACCTAATTTCACTCTTTGCTTCCGAAATGGATGGACCTGTCTTTGCCAAAAACTAATCAGCACATTTCACTAGCGATAGAAGACTCGGTTAATCGGTGCTCCCGAAAACGTCGACGAAAAATTTTATCCACACATACCCATACACACACATACACTCATCCAATATCTATAAGGTATGCCAAAATGTTCAGAAACGTAAAGATATGTAAAAATTTTCATTTTCGATTGTGGGGTTTTTAGGGGGTTTGACAAAAAATCACGAAATACTACGTGGGGGAGAGAGGGGTGTAGTAACATATCAAATGTATTTATTTTTTACCTAAAAAACCCAAACATTTTCAAAAATAATCAAAAAATTAACATTTTTTTCTATAAAATACACGCAATGTTTGGTGGAGAAGGAGGGGTGATTTTGAATATCACCACGTATCACCAAGTGGGAGGGAGCATCCAAAAATCCTTAAAAAATCGATCACGTGATTAATGGACGCCCCCTTACCCTATGGAAAGTTAATAAATAAAAAAACGTAATTCGGCAAGGGTATAAGATATGAAGATAATATACAGTTGGTCATATTGAGAAAAAAGAGAAAGAAGAGAATCTAAATACAAACACATCTGTAAAATTGTCAATTTAAACGTTTAGAAACCACTAGCAAATGATGACATAAAATCGCAAGAATTTCTAAAACATCTTATATCAAATTCGTAGATAATTTATCGTAGATATCAATTGCGCATTTGATGTGATAGCGCAATAAATCAATGTACTTGGAGAAGTACGGAAACAATAAACTCAAGTTCATTCGCGAAGGTTTTCTGCTCTCGTGGGGTTACATGACTCACGGCATATCATCAGTGTGTTGAGCAAATAGCATAATGTTGTTTTTTCGCATAAAGTAATATGCGAGCTGTTCAAGGGTATGTTTTACAAAGCAATGGATTAACTACATAAATAGTACTACGTTGCTTTAATATGTTGCTGAACGTGTATGGAATTAATTGCTTCTAGATAGTAATTAGAGGATACACGTTTTTGTAAATCTGGCTGAAAAACAACAGTAGGTATTCGTTTTTAATTAGTAGAGCTTGTAATTGTTATTCGTCATGTTCGGTAATAATTTATATAAATGTATTTTGTTAAACAAAATACCCAAAAAATCAATATAGATGACACGATTCTGGCGTACAATAGATCAATGTTATGGCAAGGCTATGTTACGTTGCATTTTTCATATAAAGTGGTAATAAAAACTGTCAAAATTCTATGTGGTCGCTGAGCAGACAGGCAGTTTAGATAGAAAATTAAACCTAGAAAACACGCAAACGTCAAAAAAAGAATCTTTTCATAAGTGCATCTTTGTGATGTGGCGTAATAACATTCGAATGAAGTTACTTTTTATGTGTAAAACGCCTGATAATTTTTAGTACCATTTTATATGCAAAACACTACGTAAGATAGCCTTGCCATAATATTCTATTTTACGCCAGAATCGGTCCCAGAATCTCTATAATTTATCACTCTTCTTCTATTACTTTTTATTTGCCTACCTCTTTCTTGGTTAATATGGAATAATTAATTATTTTATTATTACATATACATAAAATATAATTTATCAGTTTTGTTTATATTGAGTATTAATTTCTATAAATATCTGCAACGTGCCTAATTGATAATATTTATATCCTTAAAAATCAAAATCATATTTTCAGCATTTCAGTTTCTCCACTATCTTAGCTTCTTAGCAATATAAATATAGTTTAATTCTAATATAGTCTAATTATTTTATAATGTACATAACATATGAGTTATTTAGTTCTGATCTTATTAAGACTTAGTACTTAATAATATAATAATATATTTAATTTATCAAATACTGATAAATTTTAGAACTTCTTGATTGAATTTATTAGTACAGTCTGATCAA